TTTCACTATTTTCTACGTTGTAGAATAATAGTGAAGACATCAAAACTATGAAATAACACATATGAAATAATGTAGTAACCCAAAAAATTTTTAACAAATCAAAATAGATTTTAGATTTTAGATTCTTCAAAGTAGCCACCCTTTGCCTTGATGACAGCTTTGCACACTATTGGCATTCTCACAACCAGCTTCATGAGGAATGCTTTTCCAACAGTCTTGAAGGAGTTCCCACATATGCTGAGCACTTATTGGCTGCTTTTCCTTCACTCTGCGATCCAACTCATCCAAAACCATCTCAATTGGGTTGAGGTCGGGTGATTGTGGAGGCCAGGTCATCTGATGCAGCACTCCAACACTCTCCTTATTGGTCAAATAGCCCTTACACAGCCTGGAGGTGTGTTGGGTCATTGTCCTGTTGAAAAACAAATGATAGTCCCACTAAGTGCAAACCAGATGGGATGGCGTATCGCTGCAGAATACTGTGGTAGCCATGCTGGTTAAGTGTGCCTTGAATTATAAATAAATCACAGACCGTGTCACCAGAAAAGCACCCTCACACCATCACACCTCCTCCTCCATGCTTCACGGTGGGAACCACACATGCGGAGATCATCCATTCAACTACTCTGAGTCTCACAAAGACATGGCGGTTGGAACCAAAATTCACACCAAAGGACAGATTTCCACCGGTCTAATGTCCATTGCTCGTGTTTCTTGGCCCAAGCAAGTCTCTACTTCTTATTGGTGTCCTTTAGTAGTGGTTTCTTTGCAGTAATTCGACCATGAAGCCGTGATTCACGCAGTCTCCTCTGAACAGTTGATGTTTAGATGTGTCTGTTACTTGAACTCTGTGAAGCATTTATTTGGGCTGCAATATCTGAGGCTGGTAACTCTAATGAACTTATCCTCTGCAGCAGAGGTAACTCTGGGTCTTCCTTTCCTGTGGCAGTGCTCATGAGAGCCAGTTTCATCATAGCGTTTGATGATTTTTGCGACTGCACTTGAAGAAACTTTAAAAGTTCTTGATACTTTCCGGATTGACTGACCTTCATGTCTTAAAGTAATGATGGACTGTCGTTTCTGTTTGCTTATTTGAGCTGTTCTTGCCATAATATGGACTTGGTCTTTTACCAAATAGGGCTATCTTCTGTATACCAACCCTCCCTTGTCAAAACACAACTGGATTGTCTCAAACGCATTAAGAAGGAAATAAATTCAACAAATTAACTTTTAACAAGGCACACCTGTTAATTGAAATGCATTCCAAGTGACTACCTCATGAAGCTGGTTGAGAGAATGCCAACAGTGTGCAAAGCTGTCATCAAGGCAAAGGGTGGCTACATTGAAGAATTCTGAAAATTTGAAGACTTTTGATTTGTTTAATACTTTTTTGGTTACTACATGATGCCATTTGTGTTATTTCATAGTTTTGATGTCTTCACTATTATTCTACAATGTAGAAAATAGTAAAAAATAAAGAAAAACCCTTGAATGAGTAGGTGTGTCCAAACTATTGACTGGTACTGTACATAGATTCAAATTTCGGATAGATTTTAAAATTGAATGTTTGTAGACTACTGTTAAGGATCCTGATTGCATATGGTTATGTTTAGTTAAAGTCATAAAGCCCAGAGGGGATCCAATGCTTGGACATCCACAATGCAAACACAACATACTCCTTCTTAGCCCAGTGAGAACATTCCATTTGTTCTTCTGACATCACCTCTCCTCAATGTCTGTCGAGGAACAAGAGCTTTGTGCCATGTGTCATCACAGCTCACCGCAAGGCCACTGAACTCCAGATAGTCACACTCTAGTGCTGGATACCAAACAGCCCAAAAGGAGATCGCACACTGCTTGTTGTCAGCTAATGCCACCAGAAATTAGGTTAAATGGTACTATCTACACTATATGGGAGCTTCTTCTATTTTTATTAAATGGTGACGATTCTTGAAAACGACCCCATGTTGATTAAAGTTTTGGGGAACTTGAAAGTTATTTTCTTTCCATCTTATCTTTGTTTGAATTTTCTCAAGAGGGGTGAGAATATGACTTTTTGCAACATAGTTGTACTCTAACAAGAGCAATTTAGGATTAAGCAAAATCTAGGAAGGAATACTAGCACTATTTTACAGTATTATGGCTATTTTCAGTTCCAAATATCTGACTGCACTCCTATCAATGTTAACCCCTTACACTCATGGAAATTGGCCTATATGGATAGGGCCAAATTGAATGTTTCTACCAGAAGAACTAAATACATGCCCATGGTAGCAATTTAAAAATAACTTTTTGGAGATGATGGTAAAATTATCGGACCAAAAGGTGAGGACACAACAGTTCACCTGACACAAGACTGAATCCAAATATTACACTGTTGATTGTATGTGCATTTTACATTTACTGTACTTTTCAAAGCATTTGTCAATAACGAAATGTGAAAATACTCTGGATACATTCAATCACATAATAAGAATATTGATTTACATTTTGGAGTAGGTGCAAGATAAGAAAAAACTATTACAAGGGTTTGAGTGAGAGGTCTAACGGGTGTGTCCAAGTGGCCACACACCTCTCCAAACAGTGCACAGTTCCTAAGTAAGGAAAGAGCCTTCAACTATAAGGTGTTTTTTCGAGCTCTCCTAGGTTTGCCATTGAGGAACTGAAGCAAGCACACTTAGGTGGGCATAATTTGAAAGCTTATTATATTGCCAACATGGCTAGCTATGTTATTAAATACGATCTTACAGTGTTAGGCTTTCAAAAGGCACTTCAGACAAACATATTGTAATTTTGGTACGCATAGAATGGAGTCATGAGTGCATTGAAATGAGTGTTCCGTGGCTTAACAATACGACAAACATTGTCTCATTCTGTTCAGGACAACCCAGGGTATAACGCATGTCATCCTTGTAACTGTGGATCAAAAATAGCGCTCATTAACGTTGATACTGTAAATGACATGAGTTTTCAAATATTGAAATGTGTGTGGTTTGCTTGTATGACATCAAAGTGGTGTTTATAATACACTGCTCAAAAAAAATAAAGGGAACACTTAAACAACACAATGTAACTCCAAGTCAATCACACTTCTGTGAAATCAAACTGTCCACTTAGGAAGCAACACTGATTGACAATAAATTTCACATGCTGTTGTGCAAATGGAATAGACAACAGGTAGAAATTATAGGCAATTAGCAAGACACCCCCAATAAAGGACTGGTTTTGCAGGTGGTGACCACAGACCACTTCTCAGTTCCTATGCTTCATGGCTGATGTTTTGGTCATTTTTGAATGCTGGCGGTGCTGTCACTCTAGTGGTAGCATGAGACGGAGTCTACAACCCACACAAGTGGCTCAGGTAGTGCAGCTCATCCAGGATGGCACATCAATGCGAGCTGTGGCAAGAAGGTTTGCTGTGTCTGTCAGCGTAGTGTCCAGAGCATGGAGGCGCTACCAGGAGACAGTACATCAGGAGATGTGGAGGAGGCCGTAGGAGGGCAACAACCCAGCAGCAGGACTGCTACCTCCGCCTTTGTGCAAGGAGGAGCAGGAGGAGCACTGCCAGAGCCCTGCAAAATGACCTCCAGCAGGCCACAAATGTGCATGTGTCTGCTCAAACGGTCAGAAACAGACTCCATGAGGGTGGTATGAGGGCCCGACGTCCACAGGTGGGGGTTGTGCTTACAGCCCAACACCGTGCAGGACGTTTGGCATTTGCCAGAGAACACCAAGATTGGCAAATTCGCCACTGGCACCCTGTGCTCTTCACAGATGAAAGCAGGTTCACACTGAGCACGTGACAGACGTGACAGAGTCTGGAGACGCCGTGGAGAACGTTCTGCTGCCTGCAACATCCTCCAGCATGACCGGTTTGGCGGTGGGTCAGTCATGGTGTGGGGTGGCATTTCTTTGGGGGGCCGCACAGCCCTCCATATGCTCACCAGAGGTAGCCTGAATGCCATTAGGTACCGAGATGAGATCCTCAGACCCCTTGTGAGACCATATGCTGGTGCGGTTGGCCCTGGGTTTGAGGGTGACTCCAAATCTAGACCTCCATGGGTTGATAAATTTGATTTCCATTGATAATTTTTGTGTGATTTTGTTGTCAGCACATTCAACTATGTAAAGAAAAAAGTATTTAATAAGATTATGTCATTCATTCAGATCTAGGATGTGCTATTTTAGTGTTCCCTTTATTTTTTTGAGCAGTGTAGTCCTCAATGTCTCATTTTTCAGAACAAATCCTCTCGATTTACAAATGTGCAAAAGTAGCCCAATTAGCGGGAGGGATGGGGGCATTTTCTCGTCGCACGCGGTGCTGAAGTTTATAATGGCTGTCAGTCAAAACCCATTCAGCGCTGTGAAGCGGAGAACCGGAGCTCTGAAGTCATGTATAGCATGTTACTGTACAGCCACTATGTTCCAACTTAGGTGCTTATCATTGACAAAATCTGCCATTTCTAACCCGTATACGAGATGACAAGGGCTGTGAGTGGAACGGGCTACTCAACTAACCAGCTCTCAAACTGGGTAAAACTTAAGATACTGGTAATAACATGAACTACAAATCTCTACATACAAAATATCTCAACTTAAAATATTTATTCAAAATCTGTTGGATTGGAAAAGTTTTCTTAATTAGTTTAAACTGTTTGCGGTAAACCCATCAAACAGAATGGTTAACATTTCGGAATAGATGCCTTGTTTCCCAGGGGTTCTCAAATTCCACTGTGGTGGCATTTATTTAAAGCTAATAACTGTGCAACCTATCTAATCTCTCTCCATCTTTTTTCCATTGGACTAGTTTGGTGTGATTGTGTGTGGGACAAGTAAGTGACATCACCAAACAACCAACCGCACTTAAACACACCAGGCACATAACATTTTAAACATTCAACCACCACTTGCCATCACTAGTCAATTTGGGAAATTCATCAAAATGAATTTGAATTGTAAATTAATCTAAAATCAGACAGAATAATGTATGGCTAGGAGCATCATAAGCCGCCATTACACTGTCCCTTCTTCCTGTGAAACTCACCCAGTAGCTGGACCCCTCGTGTCAGGCCGTAGACATCTATGAGAGCCCAGAGTGGCTCAGAGACATGGACCCCGCTGAAGAACAGTATGGGGCTGGAGTCAATGATGCGGTAGAAGACCCGGCCCTTCTTGTCCACCCAGAAGGAGATGATGTTGCCCTCGTTGGACAGCTCCTCGGGCAGGGCCTTGGCCCAGAATCCATTCTGGGAGACAAGGTCTGGGCAGGCGTACTTGGGCAGGTTGTTTGGGTTGATGCGGGATGGGTCCTTGGAGGTGAAGCCCAGACGCAGGGCTCCGCTCCAGCAGCACTGCTTCTTAGTGATCTGAATGGGAACAGGTAATGGGTTTGTACCATTTAAAGCATGATAAAGGGAGTTAAACATTAGTCGTGTTTGTCGAAGATTTATCACTCCACATTCTGGTTGGCCATATGTTAAAACTTTGACAAACCAAATGGTAAACAACAACAACAAAAATAGACATGTCTGTTTATCATCCGCTGACTGGCTATTCTTGTCTCATCTCATTTTAAACTTCTATTTACACTGCTTCACCGTGCAAGATAACAGTACGGATCACATGGCAATGCTTCCCATGCTCTTTCATTTTCGAGACATAGATGGACCGATAGGTGAAGTGGAAACTTTTGCTAAGCTGCTTTGGCCCACACAGAATCAGGGGAATAATGAAGGCAAAATACACAGTGAGAGAGACAGACAAAAAAATACATGGAAAACAGTTAGGCTAAAAGAAAGAGAGGAAAGAGAAAGTCTTTACTGATGAACATGTCCACCTCCCAGTCTGTCCTTACCTTGAGGCGGACCTGCTCGAACAGGGCGATTGGCCGGTGGCTGAAGGTGATGGCGTTGCAGAAGCTGGCCTGCCTCTTGACGGTCCTCTGAGCCACGTCCATGACGATCTGGGAGCCCTTGGCACTTGGGTGGAAGAGCAGGGGAAAGGAGGACAGGCTGCCCCCACACTGCTGGATAGGCAGACATCTCTTGTTGGGCTTCTGGGGGCAGTGGTGAGATGTGGTGGGGAAGGGGCCACCCAGAGAATCTGAAAAGGAGGAAGCATAGTTATATCTACAAAGAACATTACTTTAGAGATCAGAAAATTATTACTAAACAAAATTTCATAGGAACCTAAATATTTCCAGTTATAGTCTATGGTATCCACTGTATAAATATGCACAATGTCAATATAACAATGCATCAGCAGCATACACACAGTCAATAGAAACGTCCTTTCTTCAATGTTGTGATGATGACTGGGTGTATGTTCCTTTAGGAAGCATTTAACTCAAGCTCTATTTTCAGAAATCCAACAAGGAGTGCAAACAAAATGAAATACAGTGGGGAAAAAAGGATTTAGTCAGCCACCAATTGTGCAAGTTATCCCACTTAAAAAGATGAGAGAGGCCTGTAATTTTCATCATAGGTACATGTCAACTATGACAGACAAAATGAGAAAAAAAAATCCAGAAAATCACATTGTAGGATTTTTTATGAATTTATTTGCAAATTATGGTGGAAAATAAGTATTTGGTCAATAACAAAAGATTCTCAATACTTTGTTATATACCCCTTGTTGGCAATGACACAGGTCAAACGTTTTCTGTAAGTCTTCACAAGGTTTTCACACACTGTTGCTGGTATTTTGGCCGATTCCTCCATGCAGATCTCCTCTAGAGCAGTGATGTTTTGGGGCTGTCGCTGGGCAACACGGACTTTCAACTACCTCCAAAGATTTTCTATGGGGTTGAGATCTGGAGACTGGCTAGGCCACTCCAGGACCTTGAAATGCTTCTTACGAAGCCACTCCATCGTTGCCCGGGAGGTGTGTTTGGGATCATTGTCATGCTAAAAGACCCAGCCACGTTTCATCTTCAATGCCCTTGCTGATGGAAGGAGGTTTTCACTCAAAATCTCACGATACATGGCCCCATTCATTCTTTCCTTTACACGGATCAGTCGTCCTGGACCCTTTGCAGAAAAACAGCCCCAAAGCATGAAGTTTCCACCCCCATGCTTCACAGTAGGTATGGTGTTCTTTGGATGCAACTCAGCATTCTTTGTCCTCCAAACACGATGAGTTGAGTTTTTACCAAAAAGTTCTATTTTGGTTTCATCTGACCATATGACATTCTCCCAAACTTCAGACGGGCCTGGACATGTACTGGCTTAAGCAGGGGGACACGTCTGGCAATGCAGGATTTGAGTCCCTGGCGGAGTAGTGTGTTACTGATGGTAGGCTTTGTTACTTTGGTCCCAGCTCTCTGCAGGTCATTCACTAGGTCCCCCAGTGTGGTTCTGGGATTTTTGCTCACCGTTCTTGTGATCATTTTGACCCCACGGGGTGAGATCTTGCGTGGAGCCCCAGATCGAGGGAGATTATCAGTGGTCTTGTATGTCTTCCATTTCCTAATAATTGCTCCCACAGTTGATTTCTTCAAACCAAGCTGCTTACCTATTGCAGATTCAGTCTTCCCAGCCTGGTGCAGGTCTACAATTTTGTTTCTGGTGTCCTTTGACAGCTCTTTGGTCTTGACCATAGTGGAGTTTGGAGTGTGACTGTTTGAGGTTGTGGACAGGTGTCTTTTATACTGATAACAAGTTCAAACAGGTGCCATTAATACAGGTAACGAGTGGAGGACAGAGGAGCCTCTTAAAGAAGAAGTTACAGGTCTGTGAGAGCCAGAAATCTTGCTTGTTTGTAGGTGACCAAATACTTATTTTCCACCATAATTTGCAAATAAATTCATTAAAAATCCTACAATGTGATTTTCTGGAATTTTTTTCTCAATTTGTCTGTCATAGTTGACGTGTACCTATGATGAAAATGACAGTCCTCTCTCATCTTTTTAAGTGGGAGAACTTGCACAATTGGTGGCTGACTAAATACTTTTTTCCCCACTGTATAGTGCTGTTAGTCATCTCAATTTTCTCCATAGATTAAAAAATATAAGGATAAGAACTGCTTGGTAAGCAGAGAGAATTGTGCCGCTGCGAGAAACTCATACAAAATGAGGTAATTTCTGTAATTGATAATTTTTACATTTACATTTACGTCATTTTAGCAGACGCTCTTATCCAGAGCGACTTACAGTTAGTGTATACATTATTCTTTTTTATTTTCATACTGGCCCCCCGTGGGAATCGAACCCACAACCCTGGCGTTGCAAACGCCATGCTCTACCAACTGAGCTACCTCCCTGCCGGCCATTCCCTCCCCTACCCTGGACGACGCTGGGCCAATTGTGCGCCGCCCCATTGGTCTCCCGGTTGCGGCCAGCTACAGCAGAGCCTGGATAATCTCCTGTAACGCCTCCATTTTTTGTTATTCCACATCTTGCCAATTTGACACTGGTTTGGTCATAAGTCTTGAATATATCTACATGAGAAAATAACAGATTTTGAGAGCAGCAGTTAGCGCTGATGATGATAATACTCTCTGGCAAGAACAGTCAACAACATTTGGAAAACAGGCCAGAAACTTCAAATGCATATTAATTACTTAAAAATCATACAATGTGATTTTCTGGATTTTTGTTTTAGATTCCGTTTCTCACAGTTGAAGTGTACCTATGATAAAAATTACAGACCTCTACATGCTTTGTAAGTAAGAAAACCTGCAAAATCGGCAGTGTATCAAATACTTGTTCTCCCCATTGTATATTATTCGTAGCAGTCTATTTGCTACCACAAACAGCTGCTGGCACTAAGACCGCACTCAACGAGCTGTATAAGGCCATAAGCAAACAAGAAAATGCTCATCCAGAAGTGGCGCTCCTAGTGGCCGGGGACTTTAATGCAGGCAAACTTAAATCAGTTTTACTTAATTTCTACCAGCATGTCACATGTGCCACCAGAGGGAAAAAAAATAGACCACCTTTACTCCACACACAGAGACATATACAAAGCTCTTCCTCGCCCTCCATTTGGCAAATCTGACCATAATTATATCCTCCTGATTCATGCTTACAAGCAAAATCTAAAGCAGGAAGTACAAGTGACTCGATCAACACGGAAGTGGTCAGATGACGCAGATGCTACACTACAGGACTGTTTTGCTAGCACAGACTGGAATATGTTCCGGGATTCATCCAACGGCATTGAGGAGTATACCACCTCAGTCTCCGGCTTCAACAATAAATGCATTGACGACGTCTTCCCCACAATGACCATACGTACATATCCCAACCAGAAGCCATGGATTACAGGCAACATCCGCACCGAGCTAAAGGCTAGAGCTGCCGCTTTCAAGGAGCGGGACACTAATCCGGACACATAAAGTGGGGAGAACAAGTATTTGATACACTGCCGATTTTGCAGGTTTTCCTACTTACAAAGAATGTAGAGGTCTGTCATTTTTATCATAGGTACACTTCAAAAATCCAGAAAATCACATTGTATGATTTTTAAGTAATTAATATGCATTTTATTGCATGACATAAGTATTTGATCACCAACCAACCAGTAAGAATTCCGGCTCTCACAGACCTGTTAGTTTTTCTTTAAGAAGCCCTCCTGTTCTCCACTCATTACCTGTATTAACTGCACCTGTTTGAACTCGTTACCTGTATAAAAGACACCTGTCCACACACTCAATCAAACAGACTCCAACCTCTCCACAATGGCCAAGACCAGAGAGCTGTGTAAGGACATCAGGGATAAAATTGTAGACCTGCACAAGGCTGGGATGGGCTACAGGACAATAGGCAAGCAGCTTGGTGAGAAGGCAACAACTGTTGGCGCAATTATTAGAAAATGGAAGAAGTTCAAGATGACGGTCAATCACCCTCGGTCTGGGGCTCCATGCAAGATCTCACCTTGTGGGGCATCAATGATCATGAGGAAGGTGAGGGATCAGCCCAGAACTACACGGCAGGACCTGGTCAATGACCTGAAGAGAGCTGGGACCACAGTCTCAAAGAAAACCATTAGTAACACACTACGCCGTCATGGATTAAAATCCTGCAGCGCACGCAAGGTCCCCCTGCTCAAGCCAGTGCATGTCCAGGCCCGTCTGAAGTTTGCCAATGACCATCTGGATGATCCAGAGGAGGAATGGGAGAAGGTAATGCGGTCTGATGAGACAAAAATAGAGCTTTTTGGTCTAAACTCCACTCGCCGTGTTTGGAGGAAGAAGAAGGATGAGTACAACCCCAAGAACACCATCCCAACCGTGAAGCATGGAGGTGGAAACATAATTCTTTGGGGATGCTTTTCTGCAAAGGGGACAGGTCGACTGCACCGTATTCTGGGGAGGATGGATGGGGCCATGTATCGCGAGATCTTGGCCAACAACCTCCTTCCCTCAGTAAGAGCATTGAAGATGGGTCGTGGCTGGGTCTTCCAGCATGACAACGACCCGAAACACACAGCCAGGGCAACTAAGGAGTGGCTCCGTAAGAAGCATCTCAAGGCCCTTGAGTGGCCTAGCCAGTCTCCAGACCTGAACCCAATAGAACATCTTTGGAGGGAGCTGAAAGTCCGTATTGCCCAGCGACAGCCCCGAAACCTGAAGGATCTGGAGGTCTGTATGGAGGAGTGGGCCAAAATCCCTGCTGCAGTGTGTGCAAACCTGGTCAAGACCTACAGGAAACGTATGATCTCCGTAATTGCAAACAAAGGTTTCTGTACCAAATATTAAGTTCTGCTTTTCTGATGTATCAAATACTTATGTCATGCAATAAAATGCAAATTAATTACTTAAAAATCATACAATGTGATTTTCTGGATTTTTGTTTTAGATTCCGTCTCGCATAGTTGAAGTGTACCTATGATAAAAAAGTACAGACCTCTACATGCTTTGTAAGTAAGAAAACCTGCAAAATCGGCAGTGTATCAAATACTTGTTCTCCCCACTGTATATGAAATCCCGCTATGCACTCAGACGAACCATCCAACAGGCAAAGAGTCAATACAGAACTAAGATTGAATCCTACTACACCGGCTGTGATGCTCGTCGGATGTGGCAGGGCTTGCAAACTGTTACGGACTACACAGAGAAACCCAGCCACGAGCTGCCCAGTGACGCGAGCCTACCAGATGAGATAAATTACTTTTATGTTCGCTTCGAGGCAAGCAACACTGAAACATGCATGAGAGCACCTGCTGTTCCGGACGACTGTGTGATCACGCTCTCCGTAGCCGATGTGAGCAAGACCTTTAAACAGGTCAACATTCACAAGGGCGCGGGCCAAATGTATTACCAGGATGTGTACTCAGAGCATGTGCGGACCAACTGGCAAGTGTCTTCACTGACATTTTCAACCTCTCCCTGACCGAGTCTGTAATACCTACATGTTTCAAGCAGACCACCATAGTCCCTGTGCCCAAGAAAACGAAGGTAACCTGCCTAAATGACTACCGGTAGCCATGAAGTGCTTTGAAAGCCTGGTCATGGCTCACATCAACAACATCATCCCGGAAACCCTAGACCCCCACTCCAATTCGCATACCGCCCCAACAGATCCACAGATGATGCAATCTCAATCGCACTCCACACTGCCCTTTCCCACCTGGACAAAAGGAACACCAATGTGAGAATGCTGTTCATTGACTACAGCTCAGCGTTCAACACCATAGTGCCCACAAAGCTCATCATTAAGCTAAGGACCCTGGGACTAATCAGCTCCCTCTGCAACTGGATCCTGGACTTCCTGACGGGCCGCCCTCAGGTGGTAAGGGTAGGCAACAACACGTCTGCCACGCTGACCATCCACACTGGGGCCAGAGGCAGAGTTGCAAAGAAAAAGTCCAGTGTCTGTGTTCTTTTGCCCATCTTAATCTTTTCTTTTTATTGGCCAGTCTGAGATATGGCTTTTTCTTTGCAACTCTGCCTAGAAGGTCAGCATCCCGGAGTCGCCTCTTCACTGTTGACGTTGAGACTGGTGTTTTGCGGGTACTATTTAATGAAGCTGCCAGTTGAGGACCTGTGAGGTGTCTGTTTCTCAAACTACACACTAATGTATTTGTCCTCTTGCTCAGTTGTGCACCGGGGCCTCCCACCCCTCCTTCTATTCTGGTTAGAGCCAGTTTGCGCTGTTCTGTGAAGGGAGTAGTACACAGCATTGTATGAGATCTTCAGTTTCTAGGCAATTTCTCGCATGGAATAGCCTTCATTTCTCAGAACAAGAATAGACTGACGAGTTTCAGAAGAAAGTTATTTGTTTCTGGCCATTTTGAGCCTGTAATCGAACCCACAATTGCTGATGCTCCAGATACTCAACTAGTCTCTAGAAGGCCAGTTGTATTACTTCTTTAATCAGCAGTTTTCAGCTGTGCTAACACAATTGCAAAAGGTTTTTCTAATGATCAATTAGCCTTTTAAAACGATAAACTTGGATTAGCAAACAACGTGCCATTGGAACACAGGAGTGATGGTTGCTGAGAATGGGCCTCTATACGCCTATGTAGATATCCCAATAAAAATCAGCAGTTTCCAACTATAATAGCCATTTACAACATTAACAATGTCTACACTATATTTCTGATTAATTTGATGTTATTTTAATGGACAAAGAAATTGCTTTTCTTTCAAAAACAAGGACATTTCTAAGTGACCCCAAACTTTTGAACGGTAGTGTATGTATGTATATTTGCGGAGAAAAAAACATATTGGGGATTGGAAGTGATGCAGACATCTAAATTGATTGAAGTTACAATCTGCAATATTAAAGCTGATCTAAACATTTTAAAAAGACATCGACGGGGCAGTAGTGGAGCGGGTCGAAACTTTCAATTTCCTTAGTGTCCACATCACCAATGAACTATCATGGTCCAAACACACCAAGACAGTCGTGAAGAGGGCAAGACAACACCTTTTCCCCCTCAGGAGACTGAAAAGATATGGCATAGGTCCCCAGATCTTCAAAAGGTTCTACAGCTGCACCATCGAGAGCATCCTGACCAGTTGCATCACCACCTGGTTTGGCAACTGCTCGGCATCCGACCGCAAGGTGCTACAGAGGGTAGTGCGTACGGCCCAGTATATCACTGGGGCCAAGCTTCCTGCCATCCAGGACCTATATACTAGGCAGTGTCAGAGGAAGGTCCAGAAAATTGTCAAAGACTCCTGTCACCAAAGTCATAGACTGTTCTCTCTGCTACCGGATGGCAAGTGGAACCGGAGTGCCAAGTCTAGGTCCAAAAGGCTCCTTAACAGCTTCACCCCCAAGCCATAAGACTGCTGAACAATTAATCAAACAACATACACCTTAGCCAAATACATTTAAACTCAGTTTTTCACAATTCCTGGCATTTAATCCTACTAAACATTCCCTGTCTTATGTCAGTTAGAATCACCACTTTATTTTATTTTAAGAATGTGAAATGTCAGAATAATAGTAGAGAGAACTATTTATTTCAGCTTTTATTTATTTCATCACATTCCCAATGGGTCAGAAGTTTACATACACTCAATTAGTATTTGGTAGCATTGCCTTTAAATTGTTTAACTTGGGTCAAATGTCTCGGGTAGCCTTCCACAAGCTTTTGTGGGGCTCTATTTTCTCATAATTGGATCTGTATGTGATGAATAGCTTAGAAGGAATGCATTAATGATAAGCATAGAAGGTTTGTACTATACTGAAATAAATTGTTTCACATAACAAGCTGTGATTCATGTAAGGAACGTTAGGGGGTAGGACAGATAAGACTTGTATTTCTTACAGATACGAACACTGCCTCTTTGTTGTCTGTGAACCGTCCTTGAACGTAGGTACAGCAGAATGGTGTCTTTTGGGTGCTAACTCCACAGGTTGTTATGATAAAAACTTATGCCTGGCAACAGTGTGCAACAAGTGGAGCGCCAAAGACTGGGACCAGCCGGTGCACCAACGGATTGGCTGAGTAAGTCTAAACCACGCTCAGTCTCTACTCTGATTGGCCAGCAGGGAGTGGGAAATATCTCTTTCAGAGTATTTGAAGAAGAACCTGTAACAATGGATTAGTTCTCCGAGTGCCCTGCGTGGTATTTCAGTGGACCCGTATATACGAACCTTCATACTTATCATACATACATTTTGCATATAATAAATTTAGCTTGGATTGAAGATCTCTTGATTCTTATTCCAATACCAGATTTGAATTACGCAATTTCTAACACTTTCCACAATAAATTGGGTGAATTCTGGCCCATTCCTCCTGACAGAGCTGGTGTAACTGAGTCAGGTTTGTAGGCCTCCTTGCTCGCACATGCTTTTTCAGTTCTGCCCACAGATTTTCTATAGAATTCAGGTCAGGGCTTTGTGATGGCCACTCCAATACCTTGACTTGGTTGTCCTTAAGCCATTTTGCTACAACTTTGGAAGTATGTTTGGGGTCATTGTCCATTTGGAGGACCTATTTGCGACCAAGCTTTAACTTCCTGACTGATGTCTTGAGATGTTGCTTCAATATATCCACATAATTTTCCTTCCTCATGATGCCATCTATTTTGTGAAGTTTACCAGTCCCTCCTGCAGCAAAGCACCCCCACAGCATGATGCTGCCACTCCCGTGCTTCACGGTTGGGATGGTGTTCAGTGGCTTCTTCCTTGCTGAGCGGCCATTCAGGTTATGTCGATATAGAACTAGTTTTACTGTGGATATAGATACTTTTGTACCTGTTTCCTCCAGTGTCTTCACAAGGTCCTTTGCTGTTGTTCTGGGATTGATTTGCACTTTTCGCACGAAAGTACGTTCATCTCTAGGAGACAGAACGCGTCTCCTTCCTGAGTGGTATGACAGCTGCGTGGTCCCAGGGTGTTTATACACTGAGGCACTGAGTTTGAAGGTAGGCCTTGAAATACATCCACAGGTACACCTCCAATTGACTCAAATGATGCCAATTAGCCTATCAGAAGCTTCTAAAGCCATGACATCATTTTCTGGAATTTTCCAAGCTGTTTAAAGGCAATCAACTTATTGTATGTAATCTTCTGACCACTGGAATTATGAAACAGTGAATTATAAGTGAAATAATCTGTCTGTAAACAATTGTTGGAAAATGTTCTTGTGTCATGCTCAAAGTAGATGTCCTAACCGACTTGCCAAAACTATAGTTTGTTAACAAGAAAGTTGTGGAGTGGTTGAAAAACAAGTTTTAATGACTCCAACCTAAGTATATGTAAACTTCCAACTTCAACTGTACATGTACAAATTACCTCAACTAACCTGTACTCCCACACATTGACTCATTGTATATAGCCTCGTTATTGTTAATTTATTGTGTTACCTTTTATTACATTTTTTACTTCAGTTTATTTAGTAAATATTTTCTTAACTCTATTTCTTGAATTGCATTGTTGGTTAAGGGCTTGTAAGTAAGCATTTCACGGTAAGGTCTACACCTGTTGTATTCGGCACATGTGACAAATAAAATGTGATTTGATTAGACATTTTGATTTGATTTGATTTGATCATATGTTCCCTAAATCAGGAACAATTAGTTATCCTTCCGATTGCTTGGCCTGGCTATAGCAATAAGTAAGAGGACTAACGTGACCGAAACGACAAAGGCTGACAAGACAGGTTAGGGTTCGCGACCATGCCCCAATGAATTAAAAGATACAAGACAACAAACGTGAGTATGTTTCGGCTCATGCTCAGGCTGCCCTCACTCAAATCAGTGTTTGTGTGTCACTAGGGGACAGCGGGAACTGTTCCCCTACTAGTCCTCAGCGCAGTATCTCTTGACAATCGTGTAGCATTCTTTAGGGGGCTTGGTGTTTCCGATAGTGACTTGCTCTCCTGGGTGCCTGTACCTCAGCTGAGTCTGAGTTGCATGACGCAGAAATGGATTGGGTCATTGGTCATGTCGCCCGGCTCCTGTGCGCTCTGTTGCCAGTTATGGGAGGCTACTAAAAGAGAGAGGGTGACCAGGTTCTGTGGGTATCCCCCCGCCGCCTGAGTCTGCCTTGGTTAAGCACCGCTTGCCTCTTCCCAGAGCGATCCTGGTCCCACCTCAGTGATCCGGTCCTACGTAGACTTTCGAGACCAGGCTAGCTAACATGCCCTGCATAGCGTGCTAGCCAGGTTAGCTAACTCGCGGAGGCGAGCTAGCTACTGCTAGCTATTCCAGCTTCCTAAAGCTGAATTGCTTGGGTAGCTCTTTTGTTTAGAATACGTAGCTAGTGTTAAGTCGCTTGGTTATTCTAAACAGACCGTACTGCGGTCAAAGAGACTAGCTAGCCTAGCTTAGATTAGAAGCCTCGTCGTGGCTAACGTCGGCTGGCATGCATAACTTCTGGCAAATGAAGCTTAATAGCTCTCCTCCAGCGTTATGGCAATCCCATTCCTATTTCCAATTCCTGGAGTTGGAGGGAGTGAAGGAAAGTGGGGCTTGCAGGAAACCTCAGATGAGGAAGCAGCCTCCGAGCACTTGGCTCGGTTAACCCCCGGAGCGAGAGGCCTTTGCACAGGTCTGAGTGACTGGTGCGCCCCTCCACAAAAATATTACTGTGACGTCAGTGCCCCCACGTTTGGATACGGCCAAACGGGGGCTACGTCAGCCATTGCCGGAGCCCCCTGTCTCCATAAGGGACCGGGCTTCATCCAGGCTATACAGTCTCACAGAAGCACAACTTTGGAAGCTTGTCCATGTTTAATGCCCCCTCTGTTACCCCACATTCCATTGTGTTCACAGGGTTCAAGGGGTATATCAATCTCCCCATGGTGAGAGTAATAAGTTGGGCTATTCGCTCTCTGTCAACAAGGGGGCACTCCTCCCCATAGGTGGGTCATTACTGGCATTCATTGCTGATTCCTGCCTGTAGCTCACTAGTCCCTATGAGGTGCTTAGTGATACAGGTTATGGGGTTTTATAGGTGATTGGTTTCATTCCTAGGAATAAGATTCAATTATGATTCACCCCTGTCTGCTACCACAGAAGGGATCCGTTTTTCAGAGCTGTCTGTCCCTTTTCCAGCTGGGTTAAAAGGTGCTGTGGCACTGGTACCTATGACTGGTGGGTATGATAACCTTCATTATAGTGGTTTTCCCCTGGGTCTATTTTTTATGTGTGTGGTCCAGCACTGGGTGGCAGCTGGTTACTCGGACGCATCTTACTGCTTAAACAACGTGAGGCTTGTTGTGACAGAAGAACCCCCAAGAGGCACTGCCAATCAGGGTTCATCACTGATTGCTGGAGCCCCCGAATCCAGAGTGGACCGGGCTTCAGGCAAACCTTGGTGCATAAACACAATTGTGTCAACCCAACATTCCAGAGTGTTCATGGGTGTCAGAAGTGTTGTATCTTCCACATGTGGGTTCAATGAAAAGTGTCCCTTCTCCACATTCAGACACAGTGGTAGAGAGTGGTGGAAAGGGAAAAATAACCAATCTCTCCCAGTCCACAAGGTGGCGCCCCTTCAGATGTCACTTGACTGCTCTAACCAATGGCACACATGCGCAGTGTTGCTCTGGATCATGCAAACAGTGACGTTGGGGTACCGTCTGAAATTTGTTGCACGTCCCCCACGCTTCTGCGGCGTCATCACGCCGACTGTCCAAGGCCTCAGTGCCCATTTTGAGGGAGGAAATATCCTCCCATCTCCAGACACGGGCAATCCGAGTGGTTTCTATGTCAGATACAGGACCGCTGGTACAGCTGGTATTTCCTGATTCCGGAAAGGGGTCGGGACTTTACGCCCTGCTCTAGACTTACAGTGGTGTGAAAAAGTGTTTGCCCCCTTCCTGATTTCTTATTTGTTTGCATGTTTGTCACACTTAAATGTTTCAGATCATCAAACAAATGTAAATATTAGTCAAAGATAACACAAGTAAACACAAAATGCAGTTTTGAAATGAAGGTTGTTATTATTAAGGGAAAACAAAATCCAAACCTACATGGCCCTTTGTGAAAAAGTGTTTGCCCCACCTGTTATAACACAACTCAACTGTGGTTTATCACACCTGAGTTCAATTCCTCTAGCCACAGCCAGGCCTGATTACTGCCACACCTGTTCTCAATCAAGGAATCACTTAAATAGGACCTGCCTGAGAAAGTGAAGTAGACCAAAAGATCTTCAAAAGCTAGACATCATGCCGAGATCCAAAGAATTCAGGAACAAATGAGAGAGAAAGTAATTGAGATCCATCAGTCAGGAAAAGGTTATAAAGCCATTTCTAAAGCTTTGGGACTCCAGCGAACCACAGTGAGAGCCATTATCCACAAATGGCGAAAACATGGAAAAGTGGTGAACCTTCCCAGGAGTGGCCGGCCGACCAAAATTACCCCAAGAGCACAGCGACGACTCATCCAAGAGGTCACAAAAGACCCCACAACAATATCCAAAGAGCTGCAGGCCTCACTTGCCTCAGTTAAGGTCAGTGTTCATGACTCCACCATAAGAAAGAGACTGGGCAAAAATGGCCTGCATGGCAGAGTTCCAAGACGAAAACCACTGCTGAGCAAAAATAACATTAAGGCTCGTCTAATTTTTGCCAGAAAACATATTGATGATCCCCAAGACCTTTGGGAAAATACTCTGTGGACTGACGAGACAAAAGTTGAACTTTTGGGAAGGTGTGTGTCCCATTACATTTGGCGTAAAAATAACACAGCATTTCAGAAAAATATGGTGGTGGTATTGTGATGGTCTGGGCCTGTTTTGCTGCTTCAGAACCTGGAAGAACCATGAATTCTGCTGTCTACCAAAAAATCCTGAAGGAGAATGTCCGGCCATCTGTTCTTGACCTCAAGCTGAAGCAAACTTGGGTTCTGCAGCAGGACAATGATCTAAAACACACCAGCAAGTCCACCTCTGAATGGCTGAAGAAAAACAAAATGAAGACTTTGGAGTGGCCTAGGCAAAGTCCTGACCTGAATCCTATTGAGATGCTGTGGCATGACTTTAAAAAGGCAGTTCTGTCACGATCGTCTAAGGAAGCGGACCAAGGCGCAGCGTGTTTAGCGAACATGTTGACTTTATAAAATTAAAGCAACCACGAAAACAACAAAACAAATGACGATAGTGAAGTCCACAGTGACAATGACTGAACATGGAACAAAAACCCACAACCCTAAGGTGAACACTGACAGTTTAAATATGGCTCCCAATCAGAGATAACGAGCCGACAGCTGACACTCGTTACCTCCGATTGGGAGTCACATGACGAGACAAGACACTACAACCAAAACCAAACACAACCAAATGAACACAACCTATACCCAACACAACCAAATGAATACACCCTGGCTCAAACTACACAGTCCCGGAGCCAGAGCGTGACAGTACCCCCCCTAAAGGCGCGGACTGCGACCGCGCCTCAAAAACCCCAAACAGGGGAGGGCTGGGTGGGTGTTGCTCCTCTCTCAGTCGCCTCTCCACTGTTTTACTCCATGGCCAGCGATCCATCTCATCCAGGATTTCCTCCCAAGTCCAAGACCCTTTACCATCCAAAATCACCTCCCATGTCCAGACCCTTGGCTCCTGGACACGCTGCATGGTCCTGGTACGGTGGGTTTTTCTGTCACGATCGTCTAAGGAAGCGGACCAAGGCGCAGCGTGTTTAGCGAACATGTTGACTTTATAAAATTAAAGCAACCACGAAAACAACAAAACAAATGACGATAGTGAAGTCCACAGTGACAATGACTGAACATGGAACAAAAACCCACAACCCTAAGGTGAACACTGACAGTTTAAATATGGCTCCCAATTAGAGATAACGAGCCGACAGCTGACACTCGTTACCTCCGATTGGGAGTCACATGACGAGACACTACAACCAAAACCAAACACAACCAAATGAACACAACCTATACCCAACACAACCAAATGAATACACCCTGGCTCAAACTACACAGTCCTGGAGCCAGAGCGTGACAAGTTCATGCTCGAAAACCCTCCAATGTGGCTGAATGTTGTGAGGTTTTATCACTTGGATGTCCCTATTCCAAGTGTACTTACAGCTGGAACAGGGGAAAGTCACTAGGCAGCGCAATGTGTGTGCAATACCCAGACCACCACAATCTTGCGGGATCAGGTCTTGGGTCTGCCATTGGCTGTTTCATTTAGTATTCGTTAATCCGAGCCTCATGCTTATCATTTATGGAAGGCGGGGCTTCCAGCAAGGCGCGAATTTCATTGGCCTTGTCAGGTGTGATTGTAGATCCTTAAACTGATTATGTTGCACTTTGTTTCCCTCCTTCAGGGAACAGTAGTTATAGTCATTACGTTACGTTTTCCTCATACAATACTTGCAAGTGGGACAAAATTATTGAGTCAAATTAATGTGAAATGCATGATTCCAAAGGCCCTTGAGAAGGTACTTAACAACAAAATAAATACAGAATAGGTAGCCAGGATATTAACTTTGGTGATGAACCGTAAAACTGCTAAGATACTCATCAGAGAGATGGTGACAGCGACACTAGTGATGGTGAGGATGACTAGCAGTTAGCTTTATGAGTAAACCAATATCTCTGGATGTGCCTCATGTTTAAATGATTGCATGAAGGCTGCATGAATGACTGTCTTTATGAATGTGTTGCAGGCAGTCATCAGCAAAAACAGAAAGTCTGAATGCCTAAGAGCAAGAAAATAGGATTGCCATTCAATGTGCTATTCAAAGCTTTGGGCATGTTAGAGGAAGCAGCAAATGGAAATCCAAAAAACATATTGTATAATAAATTTTCCTGAACAGAAACATGAATGTGCATAACAGGGAATGAAAAAATAAAAACTACCACAAAGCTACTGTGGGATGTATCTGACTAGTAAATATTAAAGAATGCATCATGGGTAATGAACGGCTCCTACACATACATCCTTCAATGCAGCTGTAATTGACTCCAAATCTACTTCTCACATCCTGGCATTTTGTAAAACACTGTAAGCGCTAAACCAACAGTTAGGCTACTCCCCTTGGTTAAACTAATCTCCTCTTCCCCATAGACATTTTCACATCTCTCTTCAAATCATTACAACAATGCCAAGGACATTGAGTTATCATGGAGATATTTCTGGTGAGATCATCCCAAATAATGCATTTTTCAGACGAATTTGTGGGAATGAGGCATATGTACCTCATGCTATTTTATGACTTTCATTTAACTGATTGTCAAATTAACATATCAGTCACAAATAGCAGTCCTTTACCAACCTTCAGACAGTATTAACTAGTAAAGGTGAGGGAGCAGGTCAACACTAGCCTGTAAAGCAAAATGTCGAAGGATCAACAACTAGAGAATGTTTGCATACCTAATAATATATATATATATATATATATATATATATATATAAATAAATATGTGTGTATTTGTGAGAACTTGTGTGTGCATGTAAGTGTGTGTGTGTGTGTATGTATCCATAGCCTAATCTAGACACATGTCCTTAGGAACAGAAAGTTATTCTTGCTCATCAGTTCATAACTTCTAGGGGTCAAGAGCTTTTCAGAGTACCCAGGAAACAAACCAATTAGGCAGGCATTAATTGGGGAGGACGGGCTCAAAGTAATGGCTGGAACGGAATAAATGGAATGGTATCGAACACATCAAACATGGTTTCCATGTGTGTGATACCATTCCATTCACTCCATTCCAAACGGTATTATGAGCCTTCCCTCAGCAGCCTCCTGTGTTAACATTGGCAACAGAGCATCATGAGGCATTTAAGACCACAGGCTATTTACAGCCGCTTCAATTTCAAGGCAGAACTATTGTGCAGTGGGTAAACATTCTCGTATCCAGATCCATGGAGGTAAATATAGCATCATTTGAAGAGGACATTTTATCAGGAAATGAACCAAATGTGCTTTTACAGAGTTTGTTTCTCTATTTGTGAAACTCTTTTAGTTTGTGGCTGCCAAAATAACTCCAATAAATTGTTTGGGCTGAACAGGCATAGGATGCTTATTTGTTAAAGTATACACTAGTGCCTAGAGGTATTCAAATTAGGCTTGGGCGGTATGCAGATTGTCATACCTTCATACCGACCTTGTGTCATACCGGGATATTCGGTAATACCTGCACTGAACACAAGGGGCGCTGTTTTCAAACCCCACTGATACTCTGTAATCGGAAAGTTAGCAATGCTAACAAGTACATGTAAAATCTAATAGAGAATGCTAAGTAAATGCTAATGAGCGCATTGTGAACATTTTGTACAGTTTCTGACCTAAACTATCCAAGTAACTCAAAAATTCTACTCACAGTTTGCTGCACGCACAAAACAAATATTATCCAGCAAGGCTCTTGATCCAGGAGGGGATTCTCTGCTGTTACCAAGCAAATGCTTGATTTTGGAAGAAGCTAACCACTTACCTATATAGCTACTAAATTAGCAAACTAAATGCACAACTGCAGAGCATTTTAGACAGTAACTTAATAGTTATAAGATATCTAGCTGGCAAACATTTAGTTGTAATTAGATCACCTGGTGCATGCTGCACAACAGCGAGTGACTCTTGTTGTTGTGTGCTTGTAAACAAACACCACGTGACCGGGGACAACCATAAGCTTCATAATGTGACAGGTGAAATTAAGAACGCAATTTTCTTTATTTAGATTTACATTTTAGTCATTTAGCAGACGCTCTTATCCAGAGTGACTCACAGTGAGTGCATACATTTTCATACTGGCCCCCTGTGGGAAACGAACCCACAACCCTGGCGTTGCAAGCACCATCCTCTACCAACTGAGCTACAGGGTAGAGCATGGCGCATTGCACAAATTGACCGCAGGTATTTACTTAAAGCAGCTACAAATATTAAAATTTATAAAAACAATTCAAAGAAATAGTTTCAACGGTTTTGAAAAACTTTTTCCAAATACCCCGGTATACGGTATTCACAGTATACCGCCCAAGCCTAATTCAAATGTCTGTCCCTTGGTTACATAACAATGTTGAATGGTTCTCTATATACAACAATGGTCTTAAATTAAGTAATAACAAATCAATGTACCATATTGTATTCACAATGTCAAATTAAGGGCTTTACATTCGGCTGGCGCTAACGAGGTACAGTGTCAATGTAAAAACTGGCACACTGGCTTTTTCCAGCCTTAATGCCAGGTTCAGCAATTTAGCTGTCTAACATCAGCTCGTTTGTGCTGAGGTGGGAGGGGTAGCAATATTTGAGGTGTGGGAAGTTAAGACCACAAAAAGCAGGTCTTAACGGTAACACAGCTGATAATAATAACGCAGTTGATAATGGCATGGATTTTGAGAGCGGAAGTGCAGCCTATCCAGCCATGGCACACAGTGCCCATGGAAGGAGAGATGTGCCTTTTGTGCCGGTGAATCTCGTATTTAGAAACAATTGGCTTCTGCCCCATTTCATTAAAAAAAACAAGCATAGCCTACCCTCCCCTTAATCAAGGCTGGTTTTGCAGCATCACATAGGTGCATCTTTTTATCCTGGACATTAGCCAAAAGTAGCCTGAATAAAGGGGTTTGAAATAGTCTACAAATAGTGCTTTGAAATATTTTAGGTTTTTGCCATCATGCTTTTTTTCATTATTCACAATTCGATTGGACATCAGCAGTCAATGAGAGGTACACTGTTTAAAAACACTCAGGCAAGGTAAAATATAAAACAAATATTAAAATGAAGGAACACTTACTCAACAATTTCTCCACATTGATAACTTCATTTAATGTACATTCCTAATCCAGTTTAAGTTATTTGACTCAATCATCCCAGATATACTTAAAGGGCGATTGCACTTCCTGATTTGGCCTCATTTTAGATTTAGTTCATTAAGAAATGCTAGCTGCCATGACTGAATTCAAACATGAGTTGGTTTCGGGGGATGGTTTGATGTGGGTGTCTTGTGTGTGTGTGTTCGCAGGTGTGAAGAGTTAGACAAATTATTTCACCAATTAGCTTCAGCCACCTCGTGTGCAACCATGGCAAAATTGGTTTGACTTTGGATAGCTTATCTCCGGGGATAGTTAGGGACTGTCAATAAATTACACAATGTAAATGAGACGATATTTTCATGTTGCACACCTTTTAGTTCTCATTAAATGCTTTCAATATTTGTACACCGAACAAAAATATAAACGTAACATGTAAAGTGTTGGTCCCATGTTTCATGAGCTGAAATAAAAGACCCCAGACATTTTCCATACACATAAAATGCGTTTTTCTCTCAAATTTGGTGCGCAAATTTGTTTACATCCCTGGTAGTGAGCATTTCTCCTTTGCTAAAATAATCAATCCACCTGGCAGGTGTGGCATATCAATAAGCTGATTAAACAGCATGATCATTACATAGGTGCACATTGTTCTGGGGACAATAAAAGGCAACTCAAATGTGCATTTTTTTGTCACACAACACAATGCCACAAAAGTCTCAAGTTTTGAGGGAGTGTAAAATTGGCATACTGACTGCAGGAATGTCCACCAGAGCTGTTCCAGAGAACTTAATGTTAATTTCTCTACCATAAGCCACCTCCAACGTAGTTTTAGAGAATTTGTATACAGAAGTTAGCTCTTTTTGGTAAAAGACCCAGTCCATATTATGGCAAGAACAGCTCAAACAAGCAAAGAGAAACGACAGTCCATCATTACTTTAAGACATGAAGGTCAGTCAATACAGAACATTTGAAGAACTTTCAGAGTTTCTTCAAGTGCATCCCAGAAACCATCAAGCGCTATGATGAAACTGGCTCTGAGAACCGCCACAGGAATGGAAGGCCCAGAGTTACCTCTGCTGCAGAGGATAAGTTAATTAGTGTTACCAGCCTCAGAAATTGCAGCCCAAATAAATGTTTCACAGAGTTCAAGTAACAGACACATCTCAACATCCACTGTTCAGAGGAGACTGTGTGAATCAGGCCTTCATGGTCGAATTGCTGCAAAGAAACCACTACTAAAGGACACCAGTAAGAAGAAGAGACTTGCTTGGGCCAAAAAACATGAGCAATGGACATTAGACCGGTGGAAATTTGTCCTTTGGTCTGGAGTCAAAATTTGAGATTTTTGGTTCCAACCGCCGTGTCTATGTGAGACGCGGTGTGAGTGAACGGATGATGTCTACATGTGTATTTCCCACTGTAAAGTATGGAGGAGGAGGTGTTATGGTGTGGGGGTGCTTTGCTGGTGACACTGTCTGTGACAATGACCCAACACACCTCCAGACTGTGTAAGGGCTATTTTACCAAGAAGGAGAGTGATGGAGTGCTGCATCAAATGACCTGGCCTCCACATTCCTCCAACCTCAACCAAATTGAGATGGTTTGAGATGAGTTGGACTGCAGAGTGAAGGAAAAGCAGCCAACAAGTGCTCAACATATGTGGGAACTCCTTCAAGACTGTTGGAAAAGCATTCCAGGTGAAGCTGGTTGAGAGCATGCCAAGAGTGTGCAAAGCTGTCATCAAGGTAAAGGGTGGCTATTTGAACAATCTCAAATATAAAATAAATGTTGATTTGTTTTTTGGTTACTACATGATTCCATATGTGTTATTTCATAGTTTTGATATCTTCACCATTATTCTGCAATGTAGAAAATAGTAAAAATAAAGAAAAACCCTTGAATGAGTAGGTGTTCTAAAACTTTTGACCGGTAGTGTATATACGAATTTCTACAATTTATAGTTGGTTTGAAGTTGTGTAATTTACGATGGTCCCTAACTAGCCCCATAGGGATATTCCAAGTCAACCCAAATTCACCACAGGCATTATGATCCGGTCACTTTCAGCTGCACTTCAAATAGATTATTAATTGAGTGCTGCCAGCTGTAGGCATATGGGCAAGATAAAAAATTAAAACACCCTTCATTTACGTTCTCACAAAACGACCAACATTATCCTTTTTATTTACATTTTGTAGAATAAATGTTTCTGACTGTTTTACAAATGAGAAGTTGGTT